CGTTTATAGAACCATAAAATAATTTCTAAACTCAGTTCCGATTTCTCAACACATGCTTGTTCGTTGGATTTTTGAAATTGGATCATTTCTCGAGCCCAATCTCTCTCTCGTGTTAATTTGTCGACGAAAAAGATCGATTATCGTTCTTGTTCTTGTGCTACCAGTCCCCACCAACAGTGTCCTGCGATTTCAAAATTTCAAACAATTTTTCATTTCTGCAAATGATTTGAAGAATTATTGCGCTTGTCTTCTATCCTCTCTCTCTCTCGATGGCTATGGCTGAGAGTGGGGGAGTGGCGTGCAGGTGCCGGGAAATGGGAAGCTATTTTGTCCGAGAAGTTAGGTTACTGGGGAAGCAGAGAATCAAGAAGAACCTCCGGAGTTTTTCGATTGTTCCATTCTTTAGAAGCAGCCTTCTCAATCGACGGCGGTTGATTGCGCGCAACAATTGCATTATCAGGTATATAACCTGGCATTTGGTAAATTTGTTGTATCCGTTTGGATTGGTTAGAATTTGCTCAAAGAAATTAGGGGTATAGAAATTGTGAGGATCTTCCAGTTAATTTGGATGAGGATGGGGGCGAAGATTAGAAGCTTCTTTCAGCCATGATATTAATGGGGAGAGATTCTTGAAGGGGGAAATTTTGATAAGGAAAAACTTGAAGATTCTGTGTTTATTAATTACATTTTTTACTTGTGTTGAGTTCGATTACTGTTCTTGGGTGCTGGTTTTTGTCTCAATTTCATTACAGGGGAAAGTAGAGAAAGAATATAGATGTAGAATTTGTGCTTCATTTGGTTCTTCAAAAGAGTGATTGGAGTTTGTCATTTCTTGTAAAAGAAATAATGTTTAGTTAGATAATCAGAGTTGCTTTAGTAAATGGTTACAAAATAATGTTTCACCTAAAAGTACTACTCTTAAAATTCATCTCAAACTCACTTTTAGGTTGAATATACTAAGAGAAGGGAATGAGCAAAAAATTAATTTTCAATGACAAGTGATATTCTTGGTTAGCATTCTGACAAAATTTCATCCCATTGAAGCTAGGATCGTAGTGATCAGTCTGTAGGAATTGGAATAGTAGCAAAAATAATATAGTGAGAATTTTTAGTAGGGATATTGTGATCTCTTTTTCTATTCTTGCTCTCCCAATTCTTATACTTCAATGGACTTATTTATGACATTATTCTCAATATGCCACATTATCCATGGTGTATTTGCAGCATGGATGCCCAGGAGAAATCAAGATCCAGAATATTGAAGTCATCTAAACATAAGAGAGTTCCAGTGTACGTTATGATGCCTGTCAACATTTTCGGCATGGATTCTTCTGGGAATATGAGGATCAGAAAGTAAGCCCCTTTAGTAGTCACTATCACATCTGTTATTGTGGATTCATGCACATAGAGATGTAAATACACTTCTACAAAGCTATATGTTAATGTGGGGAAGAAAAAGTTGAAATCATAAAGTTGGCAGAATTTATTAAAGTGATGTCCTGCCATGTTTTATTATCTATAATATGATATTTTCTTGAGTTACAATCAATAGGTAACCAGTCCTCCATGTTTTTGTGTGCTGTTCTTTAAATTTGTATCCTCTGAACTCTGTGTTGGGGAAATAGTTAAGATGTCACTATTTTGTTTCTTCCAGAATCAAGGCCTTATCCGTGTCGCTTAAAGCACTCAAGTTAGCTGGTGTACATGGAGTAGCAGTTGAGGTTTGGTGGGGGATTGTAGAGCGTTTCTCTCCTTTAACATATAATTGGTCAGTTTATGAAGAACTATTCAAACTGATATCTGAGTCTGGGTTGAAGTTGCACGCCGCCTTGTCATTTCATTCAGACATACGCTTGACATCTAGAGGAAAAGAAGGTGTGAGTCTTCCGCAGTGGATTCTGGAGGTTGGTCTATGTATGTTGGGGCTATGTTGATTCGAAAAAGTTACTTGTTGATTACAAACGCTGTCGGCATCCATTTATTTGACCTATGAACTTTCTAATAGCTCCGATATATTGGAGAATACTGGAATTAACTTTTACGATCTCAACTACTCATTTCCATTTTTATTATCGTTCTGCTGAAATTACAATCAGAACTGTATTCGAACAACCTTTTTCTCCATGATATCATTTTTTACTCATTTGCTATATGTTTGGGTTTTTTTCCCCTCCACTTTTTGGACTTGGAAGTTCAACGATTCTGAGTATTCTTTTTCTGCCAGATTGGTTCTTGCAACAAAGATATATATTATCAAGATCAAAACGGATTGTCCAATGACGATTACCTTACTCTTGGAGTGGATAATTTTCCTCTTTTTTCTGGCCGAACTGCCCTCCAGTGCTATGAAGACTTCATATTGAGTTTTCTTAACAAATTTGATCACTTCATTGGAGGTATGATTGAGGAAATAAGCATCGGTCTTGGCCCTTCTGGAGAGCTTAGGTACTTGTATTTATATCTGAACTAGAATACCGAAGCTCTCGGTAGAGGGCTTATGGAGAAACATTTTACAGGTATCCTGCACACCCTTTCGGGGATGGAAGATGGAAATTTCCCGGGATTGGCGAGTTTCAGTGCTATGACAAATACATGTAAGTCAGAAGCTTTTTAGAATTATTATTATTTTCAACAAAGTTAAACAATCATAACTTTCAGTTATCACTTGTGAAATGCTTGCTCTCCATTTAGGATGGATGACTTGAAGATGGCCGCATGCCGAGTAGGCAAGCCACAGTGGGGGAAACGAGGCCCTCGGAATGCAGGGTGCTACAACAGTTTCCCTTCTGGGACTCCTTTTTTTGAGGAGGGAGACGAAAGCTTTCTCTCCGATTATGGACACTTTTTCCTTGTAAGTAACATAACCTAACAGAGTTTCCTCCTCCAATCTTTTCTTGTTTGAATTTCAGGTAATGAAAGCTTTTTCAAAAGCACGAAAGCATTGTTTTTATCAAACTTGTAAATGGCAATATCTATGGACATTCTATCTACTGCTAAACAATTGAAATTTTTTATTTGCTTGTGTACCATAGTTTCCTTCTAGACATTCCTTCAATTTGTTGTTTACCCTTACATTATACATTCGATAACTGACTTGATTGTCGGTGGGACATTCGAAGCTTATATTGCGGAAAGTTCTTTGTAGGAATGGTATAGTGGTAGGTTGATTCATCATGCAGATGCTATTCTTGGGAAGGCAGCTACAATGCTGAAGAAGTATCAACAAAGCAATCAACCTTCTGTTATATTAGTGGCTAAGCTTGGTGGTATACATTGGTGGTACAAGACAATATCTCATCCGGCAGAACTCACTGCCGGTTACTACAATACTGCAGGCAGGGATGGTTACGATCCTGTAACTTCGATGCTGTCCCGTCATGGAGCTGCCTTACACATTCCGTAAGATTCTTACCTCCGAAGTTCTTATCCGCATCTTGGCCATGTCCAGACCTTTGAACTTACGTCTTTGTTTCTCTTAAATGTTCATCTATTTGAAGTTTTTAATTGCAGCTGCTTAGAAATGACGGACAGCGAAACACCGACAAACTATTTCTGCAGTCCAGAGGGATTGCTCAAACAGGTTGGTGTCTCATCTGATCATCATCAAAGCTAGCTTTGTTTTTCCCTTTTTTTGTGGTTTGAATGTTTTTTTTTTTGAATGCCTCTCTCAACTTGTATGAGTGTTTGGCTGTTGGAATTTGGAGTGTACTGAGGTCTTTAAAACTGGTGTTGTAGGTTTAAACTGCTTCTCAAAATGACTCAAAATGCCTAATTTTCTCTTTTCTGACTTAGATTCGAACAAATTCAGAACAAAACATTATTCATTTGATCGGGAGGAACACGAATGAACGGTTCGATAAGGTAAATGCGAGTTATACTCCACATATTATTTTTTGTGACTGATACTGAGTTTCCAAAAGTGAGTTTTTCCTCTCTCAATTGTTTTTGGATGAATTTGCTTGCAGGCTGGGTTATGGCAAATCCATGCCAATTGTTACCATCCACAAGCGGAAGTTGTGAGATCCTTCACTTTTTTCCGAATGAATGACAAAATTTTCAGTGGAGATAACTGGAATAACTTTGTCCCTTTTGTTAGAATGATGGGCACTGATTTGTAACATAATTTTTAACCGCTCCCTCTTTATTGTAATTACTTCCGGAAGCAGAACAACAATTGTACAACACTATATTTTTTTGGCTCAAAGATGTTCAAATAATTCTTTACTGTCTATTGTGGTGCTCGGGCCTAATTCTTCTTCTAAATTTCCACCAACTCACTAATTACCGCGTCATTTAAACTTATCATCAACCAATTAAAAGATATAACTGAAAAATGCTAATTCATGTGGGACTAAATTGAAAAAACATGCCAACATTAGAGAGACATATATTTAATCAAAACTAACATACTCTATCAATTTGGTTACAACATAGATTTTGACCTTTTGTTCCATCGGAATTATGGCTTCATATAATTTTGATACGGTTAAAGCAAGCATAACTCAGGATAATTGACATATATCTTCAACCAAGAGATTAATTCTAAATATTTGCGTTTAACATTTTTTTTTTTTTTTTTGGTTTTATTAAGCTTACATTCTAAGCTATATTTATGAGTCTTGTATTAAATGTTAAATTGATTAATGTATAATGTAGTGTGCACCTTTGATGATAAGGATCAAAATAAATATTTATGAGATTTTGAAGACAAAAATAAAAATATTTAAAATATAAAGATAGATAAAAATTCAAAATTAGAATACAGTTCCAACTTGCTATTTACTATCTAACAATAAAAGAACCCTAGCAACAAAAATAAACAAGTCTTTTTTTTTTTTTAGCAGCAGCAGCAGCTTGAATCCTCTTCCTTAGCACCAATTTTGTAGACACATAATTTCTTCAAGAAAAACTATTTGATGCTACCGGCCATTACAATATGGCAAACAAAGTCAAAAATAATTTTCTCTGACTCTCACCCTCTCGCCAAAGAATATGTCCAATCTTTCTGTTTTCTATTTTTGACTTGATTTTTCAATGCATCCGTCTCCTCCTCCTTACTTTGTAACCCTAATAAATACCATAGAAGAATAAAAATAAAAAACAAATTAATTATTATAATAAACAAATAAATAGATTTTGATAAAGTAAAATTATTTTTTTTAAATTAAATTGTAATAAAAATTTAAAATACATATTAAATAAATAAGTCATATGCACTACTACGTACCCGTACTTCAACAACAGTCGAACTTTGTAATGCAAATAAAATATATTCAATATCATTTGTCAACCGTTGCATCTATCAAATAAAACAAAATAAATATTCGTGAGAGAGATAAAAAAATGTGGCACTATACTGATAAAAGTCACCATTTATTTTATTTTTAAATAAACTGAAATATATTATAGGAGTTTATACATACGAGAGAAAGTAATAGTTACAAAATTAGTCTAAATTCATGAAAATTTTATTTTCTATAAAGTGATGGGATAAGGAGAGATCGCATTATCAGAAACCATGCTTAATTTTTTTTAGTACAGTCAGGTTGGCAACTATACTTGAATTTAGAACTATACGTCTTATGTTTATATTATCACATTTATGATAGAGAATAGAAGGTAGAATTAAAGAATAAAACGAAAGTTCGTTGAACGTTAAAAACCATATACATATAAACACACTTAAAAGTTTCACTTACTCTAGGAAAATTAGCGATTAGTGTAACAAGAACCCATCCATGAGCATCCATTAAACTCTTCAGGTATGTATCTCCCCTTAAATTCTCAATGCTGCAAAATTAAGGCTCATAAAATAATATTTCTAAAATATTTGAAATTTATTTGATAATAATTTTATTTTATAAATCACTTGATATGAACGATAAAGGTTTATGTCAGTCTTTTTTTAATTTTGAAATAATTTTATAAGCTAAGAAAAATAAAACAATTACATGTGTTACGTTTTATTTTTTGAAAAAAAAAAACTAAAGCCGCTTATGACCTATTTGCTCTTTACTTTTTTTATTTTTGAAAATCAAATTTATTAAACTATTTCCATCTTTATATTTATTTTCTTTTGTTATCTATTTTTAAAAATATTTTCAACATATAAACTAAAATTTAAAGACAATATAAACATTTTCATATTAAATTAATAGTGAAAAGTGGGAAGGGAATACCTGAAATAATAATCCACTTGTGTTACTATTTTCCTACACAACTCAAAACCTTGATCAGAAAGAGGCCTTGCATGATATATTTGTGGCGGCGCTCCAACAGAAGGGTTATACATGGAGTAGTTGAACGGATTAAAATATGGAGAGGTGTAATTAACCATTGGCGGTACATACACTAATAATTCCCAAAAGAAAAGAGAAAAATCGATTAATAACTATGGCGAGGAAAAGAAAAACTAGAGAGAAAATTGTTGCAATTAGCCCTTCAATATCTTATATGTACTCAAAAGAAGAAGAAAAAGAATCCTTAGTTTAGTATCCCGACTATTATATTTTTATCTAATAGATCATTGAATTTTAAAAAGTTTATAATAAATACATAAGTTTTCTGATTTATTTAATAAATATAAACACAYAAAATAGAAAGTTTAAAAACACCCACTTGAAAATTGAGAGATTAATTAGATTAAAAGTTTGTGAGTGTAACTTAATGGTCAAAAGCGTACCCTGATGAGGTGGGGGGATGATGGGGTTGCCATAATAATATTGATGTGGTGTGACCAGTGGCATGTAAACGGATGATGTTGGATATCCCCAATAACCGTTGGTGTACGAGTGAGCATACAAGTCTCGATTTTCAACATGGCAATGGTAATGATGAACCATCCAATTATTTCCACCGCCGTTGCCGTTGCCACCATTGCCGCCATTGTGATAATGACTCCCACTACCACTACCTACGTTGCGGTTTCTAAACGATGAGTTGAATTGCGGCGACTGTTGTAGCATTGGTGGCACCAACACTCTTCTTGAAGACTGGTTTGGTGATTGAGATGCCATTCTCACTTCCTGAAAATAATGAAACCACGTAAAATTGTAAGTATATGAATCTCATCTCAATTTCAAATGTCATCCTTCTATTTTTTTAAGTGAGATTAGAATATTTGTCTATATGAACCTAGTTCAGTAGTTTAGATATCTTGTTTTTTCTTTAAAGGTTGAGATTCAACTCTCAATCCCGAATGAAAAAAATCAGAGTAAAATATTTAATTAATATAGTAGATAAATACTTTGTTATACTCTGGCAAAAAAATACAAACTTTTCGAATGAAAGGGAAAGAGAAAGAAAATCAAATTCCATAAATGAATAGTATATAGAGAGAAGAAGCCAAACCTTGAAGCTATAAGAGTGAGAATAATGTGTTTCGCAGGAAAATTTTGGTTAGAACTGACTCCTTATTTATAGTGAAATAGAAATTCTATTTCCTAAAGGAAAAAGAAATATATAAAATAAAAAGGAATAGGATTCTTTTTTAATTTCGGAATTGGAATTGCATTATGAGTTTATGACAATATCTACGCCACTATATTATATCTGCTGCTAAACAATTTAAATTTTGATAATCAAACCTTTATTTTCCTTTATTTCTTATTTTCTTTTCTTATGGTTGGTTGGTTTACTCCAATCCAAGCAGTTTTAGTTCTTTATATATATATTTTCAAAAATAAGATATTTTAACAAAAAAAAAATATTTTTCATTTAAAAGAAGTAATTATAACTTTTATGTCTAATTAAATTTATATGGTGATGATATTTCTTTTAACAAATTTAAATTCATAACCCCTAAAGTTAGATAAATATCATAAAATTGTTTTTATTTGATTTCTACGTAATCACCCATTAACTTAAAAAAAAAACAAGATTCCATCTCACTAATTTTATTAAAAATCAAGTTTATCAATCAAAGTTTTAATCCACAAAATACAAAATTAAATTATGATCGTTTCCTTGTAATTAATTTATTTGGTATATATATAATTTTTTTTATTTTTCTAGAAACACACATATCACATATTTGAATTATTACCCACATTTTAGAGAGACAATAAATTCTAAAAACAAGTTATTTGAGAGGTTAAAAAAAAAAGTTGTTTGAGATGTAAATAGAAAAAAAAAGAAAAAAAAATAGTTTTTCCAGTTTTCAAATTTCAACTTAAATTTTGAAAACGTTTTCTAAAAATAGATAACAAAACAAGGAAGCACATTAGGTAAAATAGTGTTTATAAGGCTAACTTTAGAAAATAAAAAATWAAAAATGACATAGTTATCCCATCAAACCATAAGAATGAAAGTTTTGCTTAAAAAATTAATAGCTACAAGTTTGATGTGCGTTTTAATGAATTATTTAGATAAATAGTATACAAAAACTCTAACTTACCTTCGAGGTTTTAAATGTGATGTGGATAGAAATGTTGGGATTTCAATTGATGGAATGTGTGCTGAAAATATCGATAAAAATGTCGGTGTCRTTATATATTTCTAACAAAATTATAACAAATATTTAACCAATTTTCTATTATTAATATTAATATTATGTTTATATTAGTAACATTTTATGTCTTTTTTTTTTTCTTCTCTTTTCGCAAAGGATTTTATGTGTTTGCTGACCTACCATTTTCACTCGCTCTCAATCTCACAAAGTCACAAATCATGCCATTTAACATTTTTCTATTCCACGTGCAATCATTCTCTTCCTCGTTCTTTCACACACTAATACTAATAATAAATAGATTTATTAATACTATACCATTTAACATTTTTCTATTATCCCATTTCAAAATTTTTTATTCTATTTATCCGTTTTTTAAGTCATAAAAATATTTTAACTAAATTATGTAATCAAACTTAATGATTTTTGTTAATGGCGAATTTTGATGAGGTCCACTTGTCCTTCAGATGTGTGCGTCACCGAAGAGCAAATGAGCCTGYAATTAGAGAACTCGATGTCAGTGCGGTCCCCCGCCTAATACACTCTAACGATCAAATCAGTAATCAGAGTAAAGGAATGTAGACACCTTAAGAGTTTTTAGTGACATATTTTTCACTCACTTGGTAGTGATGAGGTCTTTCCCCTTTATAGGCACGAGTGGCCAATTAGGAAGGACGACGATTTTGGGCATAGGGGTGTGTCGGGCTGTACGAGATTCTGATGGGCGAGGTAGACATCCCCGGCACATCCGGTGGATGGCACCACCGTCTGCTAGTTAGTCCTCA